AAACTTGGAGTGGACCAAAAGTGACACTCAAATTTATCTTCACTCAGGCCTAAACGGATTTCTGTCCGTAGTGATAATTTCTGCACACTGAAGTTTACAGAACGGACCTCATTGCTTATGACAAATATTTTGACGTGTATCAAAATATTCGGCAGACAAAAAGAGAGATAGTTAGAAAATATAAATTATTTTGCTCGTACTCCCCGGAGGTTAGCAACTGAATTATGTCTCAGATGTAAATTATCCCTCTAAAAAGGTAGGATACAATAATTAGGGAAAACTAATATGGTTATGTATGAGATCTGTGTGTTCTATCCATGAATAATGGGCTGTCTCAGAACACTGACTACGATGAACTGTTGCGACAACATCGCGACGTAACGCGCAATACACATGCTAGTTAAACCAGGCTGCAAGCCAATGGGAAGAAATGACCTGAACCTGGAGGAATGCGTGGCACCCGCATCGCTTGCTGAGGAGGGAAAAAGCTGAAATCGACCGCTTCATATCAGAAATGATTGCTTCCCTATGGGTCATAAGGGATGCGAACTATACTTTTACTGACAAATCGCGCAGCTTTCATTTCAGCTTTATCGCCTCATCTTGCTTAGTTCTTTGAAATTTCGTATGGAGTTCGAAATCCAGCTGTCTGTTACGTTTACGTTCTTGATCATAAAAGCTAATTAATGTGTTCATTTTTTCCGTCAACAGATTGAAGAAAAAGAAGTCGGGGAACTCTGGAAATAATGCGTACCTGGGTGTAACAATGATCGAACTCCTCGGAACTAAAATATTTTATCTACCGGCATAGATGATAGTGAATGTGTCCGGACTTCGTTGGATCACGAACATTTGATACTTCATACAAGATACTACAATACCAGTTTATCTATTAGTGTGTAACCTCAGTTGTTTTGGGGACCCAGAATATAAAACCCACTGATGAAGCGATGTTCTTCCATTCCATGAATCGCCATCCTCGGATCAGGTCAAATGTACCCTGCTGAAATGCCGCTCATTTTCCCACCGCTCATACCATGGGACAGTCGCAAGTTGAAACGTCCTCAGTCCTCAGTACAACGCATTTTCATCCCAATTTCGTACGTAAATCATTTGCGTAATCATTATTTTCCCTTAAGGCTTCTATAACTCCTCCTAATGCATTATATACAATATCTTGAGCCAAAACAGACATTTAGGTGAGACCAGAAAGCCGATCCACTTCGTGCACAAAACCGTTTAACAGAGTATTTGGTAACAAGATAAGCGGAGTTTCACTGGGATTATGACTAACACGTATCATCCACAGAGTTTTCCCCACATTTTATGATTTGATTCTGCCACTGAACTTTTTTCATGATACATGATTCTTGCTTCATTTTGTATCAATGCGTTGTGGGAACTGGCATTAGTTGATAGAAACGGTTTTATTTACAAACATCTACAACACACGGCATTGCATTTCTGGGGTTGGGAGAATGAACATCACCAGAAATAACAACATAAATCTATCGAGAAAGAGGAAGAGAATCACTGCAAATTCCATACTGCGAAGTGTCCAATAAATGGGATAAGCCTGTGCACCCACGTGAGAGTGAAGCGTCTCGTTAGTTGGACCTGTCGTCTGACCATTGATCACGTGACAAAATTGAATGTGGTTAATGAATGAGTGAAAATTGATCAATCGGAAGTGTGGTGTGCAAAGTGAGCGAAGCGAACCGTTTGTTTATTCAATTTCCATTCAATAACAGCACACCTCATCGATGAAGTGCTCTTTCAAATGATAAACATTAGCTGTGCATTCCCGGTTCTATATGAGCAAAATCCAAGTGAATTCCGTACCTTTTGTTCTCATCTGTGTGTTTTCGGTTCGTTCATAAATAAATACAGGTCGATAACTGACGCAAAGGTTTTCAAAAAAGAAATTTCATCCCTCAGACTTTATTGGTGCATCAGAGCGAGAAAAGGAAAAACAGGCCTATGGGGATTTGGAAATTGACAACTGTTTGGTATAAACAGATAAATTATAACCCGAAAAAGGAAAAATGCTACAAAAGTCAATTTGCAATTCAAATTTATTTTATTTTCGAAAGGTAAATTGAAATCTGGTTTTAAACAATCTCATAAAGCAGGAAATTATTTTTAGGTGGGAAATTGATGAAAGGTAAAAACAAAAAGGAAAGCTATCGCGAGTTTCGTGAATCTTGCGAAGGATCAAACTGTTAAAACCTTTCACAGAGTTTGCAGTTTGAATTTCTGGGGAATCTGTAACAATGGATTATTTTTCGACCACCGGAGAGGTAATAGGGTCATCTTTTGCTTGTTCTGCGATTCCCTGTAGGGTGAATGCATTTTTTGTTTTAAAATTGGTTTTGGTCATCAACAAAAACAATGAACAGCTGTTCCTTCCTCGTTTGGACTCGTCAGTCGTGCCTAAGCACTCCCAATGAGTGAATCCACCACTGAAGACCAGAAAAGATTGCTTAATGCATATGGGAATTAAACGTGCAAACTCCAGAAAACCAGCAATACGAACTAAATAAGCTATTTATTCACTCTATTGAACTGCCACTGGTCTAGCCTTCACTTGCATGTTCAGTTCCGGTAGTGATGCGAAATTTAGTAGACTCTCCTGACGAATTCCAATAAAGATGGGACAACTTCGCAGTATTTTGATGATGAATGATGTTTGGTGAAACCCGAACATTCTCTCTATAGGTACCCGGAATAGCAATAAGCAATACACAAATTCGTCTCTGCCTTTGTTTCTCTTTCCCGTTTGCATCTGCAAAGATATCATGATTTATCATGTGAACTTCCATCATCAAAAATGATATATAAATACATGGGTAATACAATGGTAGTTTGGGAGGCATAAGCATAGGTACACTAATCCTTTCGAAGGCAATGTGTTCAGAGTTGCTAAAAGGTAAAAGCTAAATGTGGTAAAACAAAAGAGGTTTTCATTCGAGATGGGACACATTTGTAGGCAAGACGTAAGTGCACATAAATATTAATGAACATGATGAGAGTGTTCGGTCAAAAGGCTCCGTAAAAATTTCTCACGCGCTGGATAGTTCAAACACAATAAAAATAATAATACCAGAGATCGTAGATCTTGTCAATTGCTTGAATTGGGATCTTCAGGTATTAATTGAGGATAAAAGCGGAAGTGCTGCTGCATCACACGCAGCAGGTGATCAGCTGTTTTATTCATCAAATGCAAGAAGTAAGCTACTTGGTTACCTGAAGTTAAAAGTCCCCATTTAAACTGTTTCTTTAGCTGTATTCAGAAACGAACATGCGTAAACGCCAAGTAAATGCAGTAATCAAATCCTCCAATGTGACAGATTTAGGAGAAATAGAAGTTTTCATTTGACTTTGATGCGAACTAACCTGAAATCTCAGGTAATTATTTAGATATACCCACAAACACAAACACAACGGACGTCATCCGGTCTGTTCTCCTTACGCTTCCATATAAGAACACGTTACAGTTACCGGCAAATTATTACTTGCAACACCAGTTTAAAAAACTGCACTATTTCGCGGGCTGCTGATATAGGAACATCTAAGGTGACCGTAGTAGTAAAACTACACTCTAATCACAGTGTCAAAAGAGTTCTTGTCATAAGTCGTTTTTGGCTTGTTTTCGTCAAGATTAGAAGATTTGAGAGTATCCGGTATAACCGTTTTGAGTGACCATTCTTTGACTAAAATGAGAGCAATTCCTTGTAAAGGTCATACGAACGCACTCTTTCAGTCACATCAAGAAGTGGTGAGCGGAAAGTTCAGTCGAATCGGCGTCGCTCGTTGAATAAAGCATACACTCATACATATGTATACATAACTGGTCCCTCCATTATGTGCACGACATTCCAGCTGAATTCAGAAAATAAATTACAAATGGCAAGGTCTCACTAAATGAGAGGTTACATTTTTTTACCGCTTTGAAAACAGGGTAAAATGACCAGGGCAAATTCGTCACTTTTTATTGCAGCAGGTTTCATAGTAAACGTGTTTCGTGTTTTGATGTATAGTTTCCCTGTGTTTTCTTTAATTTAAAACTGTTTTGAGAACGTCCTATTTGAAACAGTTCTGGGGTAATTTTTAATCCTTAGTAATTCTGGGGGCGATTTCATTCGCTAACTATAAATCCGAGATGACACATAAAACAGTGATATAACAGCTTGTGCTTGGATTAGACAATTCGTTTCACTGCATCTTCCTAGTTCACTGGGAATGTATCACGCATGAGAGAACTGTTCACGTCATGGATGTTGTCAGAATGTGTGGATTTCGTGAAATGCTTTTTAAGTCTTGTGCATCAGTGATTTGATTTCGAATGAACGTGAAGATGTGTTGCAACTTAAAAGACGTACAAAATTATCTCATTTGTCTTGTGATGGTTTCCGGTAGAATAAGAAATGCACCAGCTATTGATATCTGGTTTGGGGACAGAAGTAGCGTGCATCCTAATGGTTTTCATGTAAAACGTACATTAGGGGTAATATAAACTACAAGGTTTACCGAATACCAAATCACTAGAGATGTCGTTCTATTGGTTGATTTAATCATTATTCGCATCAATTTCGTCTTGCATACAGTCTTCTCTCCGGATATTTCTCATGCAACGCTTTACATTATCCTAGTCGGGTAACAATTGACGGTAGATCTGAAAGACCGCATTGGTAGAATGCAGAATGGCCTCACCTAGAAAAGTTCTTAACAACAGTGACAAGAAAGCGGAGATTGCTGAACATCTCTCTGGCTCCCAAACCAGGAAATGCTGCGGACAAAAAATCATGTAAAAATAATCATGGAGAATTTGTAGATTTGGCTTTTTGCACTGAACACATTTTCTATCAAGTTTTTCAAATTTTATGGAGTAGAAGCAACTGGGCCGTGTCTTTCGGGAAAGACGCCAACAGTATGGCCCTGAAACATCCGTGGAACGTGTCTTGGGATTCCTTCGGTCATTATATACAGTTTAAAAACGATTATCGGAGTCGTTTTATCTTTTCTTTACTGTGATAAGTAGTGGATTTACTCACTTTGGTCCACTTTGGGCTCAGGAGCACTTTATTGGTTTCGTTCAAACTCAAATCACCCTCATAGTAACCACCGTGAGCCATTTTTGTACTAATCACAGGCTCGGATCGATGGGATACCACTGGTTTGTCAATCCATGTGCTAGAGCTGGTCATCCCCTGAGACGGATCCGGTGCTGTCCCCTGTACCGGATTCCTTGTTAATACCTTCTCATTTCGTCCCACTTCTGGATCATGCCAAAAATGTTGTCGCCACTCCCGTGTACACATGTATTCTGACTCTCTCATCTCGTCTGAGCCTCGTGTCTCAAATTTCGATTTCGATTTAGTCTTTGATTCCATCCTACAGATTCTGCTGCTGTCACCAGTGACACTATCACTGCTTGTCAGTGAGCGCTGATAAGCTTTCGTGAAAATCATCGAGCATGCCATCTGGTTAGGTCGCAAATCACCCAGGGTTGCTGGACGTTCACATTCCAGGCTAGACTGTTGCTCGTCCGGGACGCAGTCATACGCGTGCTTGGGCTTCCTCTGTAATGATTGAACACGTGGTGATGGCACAGTAAGTGGGGATGACGGCGTTGCTCGTGGGCTGCACGGACGGGTCAAACCAGTTTCATTGTCCTGTTTCGTTAATGTGGAGGTTGAATAACACGAGCTGTGAACACATTGATGAGCAAAGAAGGAAGTTTGGGAAAGTATGTCGGATGAACTGAAAAGAAATTTTATCAGAAAGTGCTATAAAACAGCTCCTCTGCTTATGATACTCAAGAATATCAGTCTACTAGAAACTGGATTAGTAAAAGTATTGTTTGTGGGTGTTCTGTTCCCATTTATCGATTTGAAGTTCAAAAAAAGCATACAAAAGATTTTGAACACACCTACATCACAAAAATTGAGGTTTATCGCTTTGAAAATTGAATAACAGAATAAAATATTGGCGATAAAAGTTATGGAGGAATTTCACCAATACGTAGATGCCATTCCGAACCAATAATTAAATGCTTCGACACACTAGTGAAATGTAATTGTGGTCCACTTTCATGCATTTCTCACAATATATTGAAGAACTCTTTACCAGAATTACATCAATGAGTCATTCGTTGAACCTCCACGTGATGTAGTTCCGGTGCAAGGCGAAAATTTTAAAATCTACTTCAGGCGAAGCAGTTTGAATCTGACGGCAGATGCATTGACTTAGAGAGTAATTTTTTTGTTTTTAACTGAAAAAAGTGTTTTCAACATTTTCTGTTGAAATCTTTTATTTATTTTATCAAACAACAGTGTTGACATCTCGGTAGTCAAATGATAACTTTGAATCTATCACCTGATGTAGAATTGCTTAGTCAACATGGGGTGGTTGTGGTGATCAAGCGGTAAGATCACCCACTCACAATCCAGGATTACGGGATGTTAGTATCACCGTCTATCCGTCTCCCATCTTTTGTGTTCTATGGCAGTTATCCGAAGGTTACTTCCTTGACCCGTAAAATTAAATTATTGTATACGCGGAAGTGAAAAAACAAAACATTTTGGGCATCACTGATATTCATGTGAGTAATGGAGGATTTGATTCAACTTCAAAGGGGAAATTCATCGTGTATATGGAAGGTGAGGCGTGAACTGAAAACCTAGGAAGCACTGAACAGCTGTTTCCACCTGGTTGAGTCTCCTCAGCAATGCGAATCCATCGACCCAACTGGGAATGGAACACGGGACCTCATGGGCAGAACGGAAACATGCTACCCACTTGGTCACCGGACAGCTGATTACACCGTTTTTTCGTTTCCTATCTACACGATATTTACACAATATAGCACAATCCATCTTGACGAGCGTGTTGAGAGCTTTTGACTTCGCTCATCTGAGCACTAGACCCTAGACTAGCACTAGACTAGTCGGCACAGCAGTCCAACGCTTCGTAGCTCTTCAGTTCACGCTTAATTTGCTACATAAACGACGAATTCCCCCTAGAATTGACATCGTTGGTCAATAGGTCACATGGGTGTTCTTGTGTTAATGAACAATTAAAAGGTGAAAGAAAAAATTACAATAAAAATCAATCATAAGGCAAGGAAATATATCCTAAATTGTGGGTGATGAAAGCAATAGATAAAACCTCGACTATGATGGTACCTTGAACGATGTGAAAGCATCGACCGATTAGTGTCTTTATCATCCCCCATAAAAGTATGAGAAGTTTTTTTATCAACTGATAGCAGATCATAGCACATCCATCTAATATGCCTCTCGGTATCTGGGGTTGTGTTTAACTGATGCACGTACACTCGTCATAAAATATTATGGGAAGGACCAAAACAAAATACTCACTAATAAAAACTTGCAACTTCCTGACAGTTTTCCAACATTCATATGTTTTGTTAGCTTTATGTTGCCCAAAGGATATTCAATGAATAGGTTTTGTTTTACCAAATCTATCTTGTACTTACATGCATTGATTTTGGTTGCTATTTTCTTTCCGTCCGTTAGGTTGACTAACGAGGAAAGCAGTGGATAGAAGGAACTACCCGTTAAAAGTAAGGCCAAGATAACGGGTAGATGATAGGCGAGTACTGCATTAATCCGTGTTACCCAGTGTTTCCGAACGACGGCTGCGCGACCGAGAGTCAAATGAACCTTGGGTTTTTTCATGTTTTCCTTTCTTCTCATAATCTAACCACACAGCCTGATCCACTAATCGCCAACCGCAAAAAATATTACACACCGAGAAAGTCTATCCGGTAACATTCATAAATGAATGCAGATTTTCGAAACTGGGTTTTCCCATAATTCATTTACAGTATATACTGTACGACGCATGACACTGGTAATATAATCTCAGAATGCATACGATTTCCATGGACGATCTGCCCGCATCAGGTTTGTGCAGGCTTTGAATGATTTGAAAATTTACTTAAATCATTAAAAAAGTATTTGTTACACAGAATCAACGTGTCAAAATGACTTCTTCCAACGCAACTGTGGAACTCATCGGACAGACCGACGGGTATGTGCAATAAAGTACTGAAGCGATGGTGTCTTTTGTACATGATTTCACAATTCTCCACGGCAACTGAGACTTCAATCGGAAAGCATTCAAAAGCAGTTGCTCTGAATGCTTAGGTATCCAAGAAACAATTTATTTCGGTACAACGTAAATCATTCAACTCACGCACCTTAACATGCTTAGTTCGCTTGGTTACATTTATAGTAGTTGATTAGCTTTAGAAATCGCTCCAATGTTANATCTTATTATGCGGTCATCGCAGTGTCCGATACGGTTTGCTACTGAAGCCAATAACAATCACGTCCTTTTACACGCGTGGAACAGGTTTAATGGATGCAGTTGTCACAACAGAGTGAACTCACTTTTCCAGCGAATTAATTGCTTTCTCCTGAAGATCGTGAGTAACACTGGAACTTCGACTGACCGACGTCCCGCAAATTGGACCGACAGAAATGCGTTCNGCCCCGCTCGTTGTGCGAATAGCCCGCTCGAACTAGTAAGGCAGCTCGTCCCAATGTTGGTGTTCTTGGACGTCGCATCAGTGCCTCATGTCGAGGAGCATTTGTTGGTGTACTCGGTGTACTGTCCATAATATGACCGAGATCGTCCTCTTCCTTACCGCTACAGCATTTGGAGTCAAATTTACGAGTGTTTGTTGTGATGTGCGAGTTGTTCCTTGGGGTGATAATTCGAGAACCTGTCTGTGTCGGACGGGGTGGACGTTGATTCAGCTGACCACTTCGCACGCTTTGTGTATCAACGTTTGACCCTTGGCGATTATTTAAACGGTCCTTCTTTCGGGAACTTCCTCCCAAGGGACGAAGATCTTCCATGGAAGAAAAACTATTTGGTTCATTGGAGTCTGTGTCACTCGCCGGTTGCAAACTGGACTGAACTGTTACGGGTAGAAACCCAAGCCTAAACCGAGTGGTTGGCAAAAATAAATTGAGACAAGCAGCCACTTGATAATATTTCTGCAACGATAAAATCGTTGTTTTGTTGAAAAAGATTGGAATGAAATTTTTTACTGTTCTTTCATCCTATAAAATAACAATTCCTTCTTTACACCGTTTTCTATGATTACAATTCATGGGAACAGATCACACCTGATTTCACCCGTCCACTTGACGAATACATCAATCAAACAATGCAGACAACCCTGTTTTCACAACAATAAAATTCAGTTGAAGCGACCGGTTATCTGACATCGTTTTGTTTGTTTGCAATCATACTTCCGTTTTATATAAGTTGTAATTGTGAAAACACAGCGATGTCAGTACGGTTGAAAATAAGCCAACGTTTAGGATACCGTGGATAACCTATAGCAAGGCGATTGTAAAACCGAATGATTCAGGAAGAGTCTGCCTTCTATTTTCTTTATTTGTATATCGGATAACTGTATACTCGTACCTCAGATATTTTGCATACAAATTCCCGATAGAATATGGATAACCTGTAGTTGAACGTTGAATTCCAGGCTGAATCAATTTATGTGCAAACTCTGGGAATGGATTATCACCTCCTCACCTTTACTTGGAAGTGTACATAGCATGACAGTTGACTTCAACACTTTATTTCTTTGAGGCGTGACTGTGTATTATTGGAGTATGCTCAGCCGTTCGGATAATACAACACATACTTAAGTTTCTACATGCATGTTTATAGAACTAAGATTTTCCTATTTCCTGTTAATCACATTGAAATCTTCAAATGGACTCTCGTGTCACTGATGGGTTGGGTGCAAGATGTCTTCCATACAGTGAATAAAATTGGGAAATCTGTCAAATGTAATTTGACCTACCACAGTTACTTTACATGTCCTGTCTCTTAGGGAAAACGATAGCGTTTCGGAATACCTAAACACAATGTACACCATGCTTCTACTTCCCGGAATCCCTAGTAGAATAACGGCTAGAACATTGACTCGTTGAACTGCAAGGAAAACTGTGAGAGATATCAGAAATGCGGCAATGCGTATACCAGTTCAATCAAACAAAACTATGATTGTGAAAGCACTCACGCATAAAAATAGGGCTTTGTATAATTTCAATGACAGTTCACTCGATGTGACATCTTGGAATCGGCCAAAATGATCTTTGAATATTTTTTCGTAGAAATGAAAATCTATCCTTCAAGGTGGAAATCCGCTTTCTATGGAGCTGTAAAATGATCTAATGCTTAAGTTCTGCCCTCTAACTTCGCTTGCATTAGAAAACAGCTGACTGATTTCGTAAACACTTGGTCATCATTGAAAAAGAGCAATACCTGGGTACTGAACATTTACAGTGATTTAAACCTAATAACTCATTCATTTTATCCTGGTTTTATAAGTAACCTATTTTATAGAAAACTTCAATCCCGATCACCATAGAACTAAGATCATCAGTTAGCCACCTGCGCACTATCGCAACAATAACAAAGCGAGAAGGGTTCATTGAGTAATCACATGAAACAGCTTCTTATGTGTCCAGATTAAATTGACGACCCATAACAACATCATATTATCAAAATTTCAAGGTAAAAATACAATTCCTACTGCATTTTCGGCCGGCATTAGTGGATTTGTAAGAAGTGATACATACCGTATCGTAACACCTCCATTTTTACTCCAAACAAGGAAAGGTATAATCTAATTTCCTGTCGAAAAAATCACTTCAAAATCTGTTTTGTAATGCTATTCTGTTTTTGTGATTTTGAAAGTGAAACATTAGGATGAAGCAGCCATAATTCACTACAACAAATTACCACAAACCAGTGCTATTTGGTTTAGCGAAACGACGGTTTTCTATCGCCGATTCGAGCAGGATTTGTGCTAGCCTTCTAAATTATTGTGATTGATGTGCCCCCCGCACGTGAGGAAAAATCCAATTATCTTCTGGACCAATTGGAGCATACCACGTCACCATCCCGTTTAGCTGCTTGGGTTAGATACAGGGTATGAATGAGAGCTTATCTGATTTACCGAATGTGTTAGTGCGTGCGACTGTGAATGTGGTTGAACATCGGTGCGAATGATTGGATCAATCGCCGATTGGAATGCGCGGACCTATAGCGATATGTTACCTCTGATGCTCAACATGTGGGCTCCGATGGACAAAAGCATTTTCTTTGTGCTGGGGATGGGGCCGCTTAAAGGCTGGTGTCCAGCTTGGATGCCGCTTACACCAGTAGATGTATAATCTATCTTTGTATGGTTTATTTTGCGTGGATGTGATTCAAATGAGTAGAAATTTTCTTTTTTGGTTCCGTCTAGGACTGTTTTTGCTAAACAAACGTGGGTTTGCACAATGTATCCAAGGTCATTTCGCTGCATTGCTACACATAAGGTGAGATAACCACTGTGAGACAAAGACAGAATGACTAATCACAACTGCAAATAAGGCACAGGAATACCAAATAGACGATGAGTTTAGAGGCCAATCATCAAGGAAAAGATAACCATTCAAGTTATATACATAGTTTGGGTTTGAGAGCGCTGGCAAATTTCAGTAACTTTATGACAGTTCTGTTGTAGATGACCTGAAACGCTTGGATTGGAGCGACACAATACTTTTGTTCGAATAAATGTTTTGTTCTCAAATTTCCAAGTCTTCTTTTACCATTCGATGACGCAACGGTTGAAAACTTGTACTCCATCGCTTTCTTAAGCCACATCGGGATGTATTCGGTCATTCTGTGATGCAGCTGTCTCTGTGCCCTGTCTATGTTGATGGTCCAGCATCCACACTTGAAGCGGCAGATACAATTTCATTTGGCGGAAGGGGCGAACATCTCCATCAACGATGTCGTTGGTATCCCTGTGATAATGACGGGGTCAGCTACGTAATAGACGCACTTGATGGTAGAATTCAACCGCCTGCTAACTAATTCGCTCATGTTATCGCCCTTCTATAATAACCTTAAGAAAGCTTTCATTTTGGAGAAATTTTTTTGGTTTTTCTAACCGATCGTGATGACCAGATATGACATGAACTTTAATTATGGTTTCCGTGTTGCATGTATGAACCATTTTGTGCACAAAGGAGAACATAAATCATAATCGATAAAGAGTATTCGAATTCCAGTCAATTTTTGCTGTAGTCAGTCAATTAATGATTAATCAAACGAAACGCCCACAGTTTTCTTCCCAAGAAATTATGATAATTGCAAATGTATCCATATTGCTGCAGTCTTTCGCTGCTGAATTGAGAAAGAGTACATAGCAGTGATTTCATCATTGTTAAGATTCATCATTAACAATCAATGCATTATTATTAGACCTCGAAGATTGGTCAGTTTCGGCCACTTAGACAAACCCAGATGGTCTATTGCATGTCACGTGATTGTCAAAACTGGATAGTTGGTCGAAAGATCAACTATGAAATAAAACCTTAGGATTGGTTGATTATTAACGAAACGAACGTCACAATCAATCAAACCAACAAGTGTGAGATGAGTTTAAGCCGGAAAACAAGCCAATACGGTATATCTCGAGGGGCGAATAAAATGACAGTCAAACTGAATTCTAACTCGGGCAATTAAAGTTGTCGATTTGATTGCAGCCCACATTTTTGTTATCCACTCTCAGACTAACGAGTTTGTCTGATGTGAACGCTTTCATATTGTTGTGCTTGTTTATTTCTCTTGTTGGATTGACCGAACTTCACCAGACACTTAGCGATCGACTCTTCATGACTCAAGTCTATTCAGTCAGCGAGTCCTGACAACCCTGTTGAGTTGCGATATTAAGGTGTGAAATGATTGAAGACAAGCTCAGTCTGTCTGACAGCCGTATTTAATACAGTACTAACCAACCCTAATAGCCGTAAAGATGATCATGCTCTTCCAAGATGGCTTGTCGCGAAAGCATTATAATCCACAAATATTTCCTACAATTTTATACCCACAAAATCAAGCAGTAAAGAAAGGGATCAAACGGTTTCATTCAATGAAACTAACCGATTCGAGTGCTTTTCTGTCGCCATGTACTCCGACAGATGTGCTTGCATCAAAGAGGCACTGCGTAGAGCGTCAAATGTTGAGGTTTGCATATTGTCACAAATCTTGCTTTCTCGATGCTTGTGTCTGAGTGAAAATCCACGCCGAAGAAAATTCTGTAATGCGTGCAAACAAACGAAGCTTCCTCTATTATTACACGAAAATTGCTGAAACATTGTTTTTAAAGTTTCAGAAATTAGATCAAAATTGACAATACCGAAATGACCATTTCAACCAAATATGTAGTTATTAGTTATTTAAAAACTACAGGTCTGCTAACATTCTTTCTGGTGTCTTGTAAATCAAAGTTTTCTTGGGGGAGCTTGCAATATCGTTAATGGAAGTGAATGAAACGTTCGGAGGCATTTCACCATCCATCTGCCTAAAGAACAGTGCAGTGATCCACATTCGGTGTCAGCACTAGGTCCGATAAGCGATTCTTATGCAGTTCTGCTTCTATCACGCATTAGTAGTAGCATTTCCTTCCTCAGGTTTCCCAGGAATCATTAGTGGGTTCTCAGAGCATGCGATTCGGGACGCAATTTAGGTGGTTCACTTATCGCACCGAGTTGCGTACCGAAAACGGACAATGGAAACACCGGACATTCCCGAATTAATTTGAAAGAGTTCATAGTTTTACATTCACTTCATGACAGAAGGAAATGGATTGTATCCTAATTTAACTGGGTTACATCCCTAATGTCTCTCATCTCTGTCATGCACTTTTTCTACGATGATCCTCTTTTTGAATAAAATGTGCAACGAGTGCTACACTACTAACTGCAACGTGAGTAGTAATATGCTGAATACACTTTCCATTTACTTTTCGAATGGGCGCCGTTGATAGTTTTGTGGG